ATCACATTCAAGCATAACCATTATTCATATCCTAATGCATTCATATAACATTTGAGAAAACATAACCATAACATAAAGGAAGATGAACATTTTTGTTCCATTTCTTTATTCATTAAACTTACCTTTCACTTTACTTTCCTAAATTCTTTTTCTTAGGTTCTTAATTATGTTTTCATATTTGGTCTTTAGCAAATTAAGTATCATTTCATGTTTCAACCTAACTAGGTATTATTTCATTGATTTAGGAGGTTCAATTTCGGTTTGGGCCTTAATGGGCCTAAGGCCTAATTTTTCTTTAAATTTTTATGAGCCATTTTCATTCCAAACCATCCTTTTACTATGTTTTGAGTCTGAATAATCAATTTTAAGTTTTAAAACTTGGTTTAAAACTAATTTTCCAAAATTCTCATTTAGGCCTAAACTTGACCTCTTTAGAATCCTAACATTTTCTCCTCATTTTCTCCCACCATTTTAACACTAAGTAGCCTAGATATGTAAAAACTATAGGAATTAATTTAACTAAAATTTGGGATCGAAATCTAGTCCAAACCCAGTGTTGGGCCTTAATGGGCCGAAATTAGGCCCAAGCCCATAAAACCCATTTTCTTCAACTTTTGACAAATTTTTCACTTCAACTCATCAAAATATACTTATTTAAGTGTATATGACTTACCAAAATAAAATCAAATTGCTTTGAACTCAAACACTAATTTGTTTAGTTTAGGCCAAATATAATTTCTAAAAATTAATGGATTTTTTCTTAAATTAAAATGTAATTTTTTATTCCTAAACATTAATTCATACTCAAATAATTCAGAATCAAGTGCCAAGACACCAATTACATGAAAGAATTTGAAACCCTTAAATTTGGTTCATCAAGAACCCTAACCCTAATTTTTTCTTAATTGAGCAATTAAATCAAATCAAGTAATTAAACATGAAATTGACTTGAAATTAAGCATATTTGTGGTGTAGGTGAGGTTAACTTACTTGTTTGAGCTCTAATTAGACTCTAAAAAGGTAGATTGGTGAAGGATTTCTCTTCCTCCTCTTTTCCTATAAATTTTTGAATTTGATCTTCGAATTTTTTTCTTGAAATTTTCGGCTTCCCAATTAAAATTCAAGCTTCTCCCACTTGATTAGAGATTGATAGAATTTATTAAAAATGTTTTGAGTGATTTTTAAGTGAAAATTTTATAAGAGTTTCTTTTGTATTTTTCAATTTTTCCTCTCCTTTTTATTTTTCTAGCACCCCTATTTATATGAAATTTGGTGAATTTATTGACCTCATCTCCACCCTTAATATAGGAAAATCTTAGCCCTTAATTCAATTTTCAATCATTCACTTGCATTTGTCCCAATTTTTAGCCATTTATTCACCTTTTTATTTAACCCTTCAACCTTGCTTATTTTTTACCGTAATTTTTACTAGAAGTCAGACTTAATTAATGATCTAAGTCGGCCAAAGTTGGGAGGAAATGACAAATTTCGGTCCTTCAAGTTTCTAGACTTTTCCATAGCTCATTCTTTCCTAAGTCCCTCTTTTATGAAAAAAACTCACTTCTAGTCCTTCCTTTTTAGTATTTAGGACTAATTTTTAACCCTTAACATTCTCACATAATTTAATTTGGATTATTAGACTTTTAATTTTATGCATTTTAGTCCCTACTTTTAAAACTTTATTTTATACTTTTCAAAAATCAAATTTCTTTCTAGAATAAATTCAAAAATTCATTAAGGGAGTTTGATTTAAATTTTCATAATTTTTTGCCCTAATTTAGTGTGAAAATTACACTATTTCCTATAAAACAATATTCCTTGTACTTACTAAAATTAATTTAAATTTTCTAAGCACTCTCACACATCCTATATGATTATTCTATACTCTTAAAAAAAATTATCATACTCTTAAAGTGCCTAATTAAATTCTTTACCTCTAAAAACACTATTCCTACACTTAGAAAATTCAATAAAATATTCATCATATGTAGAAAAATTCATAAAATCATATAAAATAATCTAAAACCCTTCTAAAAATTATTCTAAACAAAAAAAATATTTTTCATACACAAACAACATGCTTTATTTAATTTTCTCATGCAATAACTACTATTCATGTACCGAAAAATCACTAAAATATTCTTTAAGCATGGAAAACTATTTTGACCCTTCTAAATATTCTTTTAATTTTCTATTAATTATTTCTTATTCTCAAATATATATTTATTTATTTATTTTCACACGATTTTAATATTAAACTTTTATTACATTCCTATTTTAGCGAGTACTTGGACATTACATTTCTATTGTCGGATTGTTCTTTAGTATAAAGGAAGTAAAGAGGGGTTTTTATTTGTTATGATTTGTAAGTAAGCAAAAGAAAATAGAAATAGTTCGAGTATCCACTTTTGGTTTAGTCGTTGATCATTGATTTAATTATTAACTCCGTCCTTAGTATGAATAGTCATTATAGAATAACAATCTACATGTTGCGGTCAATCTTATGTTAATGATTCGTTAACCAAATAGATCTTACTCGATTAATTCTCTAGCTATTAAATAACATGCTAGATAGATTTAATCCAATAACAACATTAGAGTAGGGAAAGACAAGTAAAGCTAAGCCACCCTTTTAAACACTAGAAAGATATAATCTAGTTCTATGTTTTTTCAAGGGATTAAAAGGAAAGGCATTTATAATCATTAACCTTTTATTACTACCATAGACAAATTTATATCGACAATTACATGGACTTGAATACTTAGCTAGCAATAGATTATGATGATCAAAGAACTAGTGTACACTCTAATCAATTAATCACACAATCATAACTAAATCATGTAGAAAAACATAAAATACTAAAAAAGGAATAGTTTAAAATTAAAACTCGTTAGTATCTCACAATGATTTAACCAAAAGCTTCGACTTCCTTTAACCAAACCAAGATAGGTGTTTAATTATTCATGGCCGATTATAATGGAGAATTTTCTATCTATGCTTAGTCGCTAAAAGTGATAAAACCCTAACAACATTATTTATAGTTAAAAATAGGGTTATAGCACATACATGTTAGTTCCACATGGTCACATGGATTGTTTAGTAACAACATACGACTTGTTCTTTTATTTCACATGGTTTGAAGCCTTGGAGAGCTGGTGTTGCATGATTTGCTTGGACATAAGCACATGATCGTATGTCTTTTGCACTCCATCTCATGTCCCTAGCATCCGCCCATATACAAATTTTTCCTCTATCCCGTGTCACTTCATTATGCTCGTGTGCCTTTGTTGCTTCATTTTTTCTACTCGTGACACACACGGACTTGTCTCTTCTTCGAGTGCATTTCGTGTGGAACGGCTAGAATCGTATAATGCTTCTTTCCTCTTGGAAGGTATTGCGACCTTGGCATACATACAAACATGTTGCTTTCCTTACTCTAGTTGTGTGGAAGGTTATGACTCATGTGGTGTTTCTAATTGATCAATCACACAATGTCTTCCTTTGTTTCAACGAACAATAGCTATTTTCCTTTGTAATGCACGTAGCCGTGTGACTCCTAAGCTTCTTTGGTGGTTTTGGCTTCTCCTTGCTTTTAGCTTGGGTTTTTTTAAATCAATTCGTCATTTTTTCTACAAAATCCAAAATCGTTATCTTGATCGTAATTTGTTAAATATAATACAATAAACACTAGAAAATTCAATGGAAAAGAGCATAAAAATCATACTAATTATGCACTTATCAACTTTATATGTCACTCGTATTTTATTTAATTATTCAATATAGGATATGTGCTTTAACGCTTTCCCTCACTTACGATCCATTTTTTCGGATCTGTCAAGTGGCATAGTCTTTATAATATTTGTTGGACCGTTAGACCTCTTTGAGATTCTAATACTATATAGAGTTAAAGTCTTATGATGAATGGTCTCTTTTTAACTTTACGTCTTATTCATTTTTTGTTTAATTATTTAAGAAGATATATGTTTTAACAAAATTAATTTTCGTCGATCATCAAACTTTACAATTGCATCGGTTAAGAAAAAATCATTTAATCACGCATCATTAATCGAAGTTCATAACATCATTAACTGGCATATACATGCGAAATTTAATATGCATGATATATTACCAGGATAAGAAAGGGACAACTTGATCCGAGTTATGGATTGCATTCATTATGAAAATGATCCGTGCAAGTAATTGATACATAAAATGCACATCAAATTATGTGACACAGAGAAGATTTGAGAAATTTAGGCGTAGAATTCAATGTTGTACCAAAAGAACCTGAAAATTTTGGTAATAAGTACATGTAAATTGTGAAAATCGAATGACTTCCCCCACATATCCTATGGTGCCTGAAGAATTAATTATATATATATATATATATATATATATAAGGCATAGGAAAGGATGGAAAAGGACTGGGTGGAACTGTTCAATGAAACCCGAAAAACTATAAAAACCAACGACCTGTACGAACTGACAAAAGAGGAAAAATGGCTCAGGCTTACTAAAGCAAGCAAAGAAACCTGAAAAATCATTTTCTAGACAGAAACAGAACATTTACATCATCCTTTTCTTACTTTACCAATTTGTGTTGGAACAACTCAAGACAACCTTAACTTCTCCATCATATGCCCACATGCGACTTGCAACCCCCATTCCATTCCAGTTTCCACTTTTACCCTTCATAAAATTAGCTAACCCAACTACCTGCCCTTCAAGTAACCCTATCATACCCCACCTAAACCCCAAAAAATGAAGAAAAGAAACAAAATTCAGCAGTAGCTATGGATCTGCCATGCCATACAAATCTCTGACCCTACCAATAAATATAGTAATAGATTAAAATAAATCATTAAAAAGTCAAAAACAAACACCATCCCATCCTTCGAATTCAGTCAACAGTAACATTTATTTTTTTAATTTTAATATTTTAATAAATTATAATCACCACACCACTGGTACTCCATCTAAAATTCTTGTTTTCTCACAGGAGGTAACATTAGCACATTATTAAACTGCCCGAAACCTGCCCAATCTGCCCGCCTCTGCTCTACCAAGTACCCGAGTAGTACTTCGCCTTTCCTTTTGCCGTCTCTCTCTCTCTCTCTCTCTCTCTCTCTCTCTATTTTTATTTTGCGGTTTTTTCTCCACGATTTTCTCTCTCTAGATTCTCGATTTTCTCTCTCTAAATCGAAACGGATTCTAGAGTTTTTTTTCTTTTAATTTAACGGATCCGGAGATATAATTGGATCGATTGATAGAAGGAATCGCTGTTATTTTCGATTGTGGGGAAAAAAATTAGGGTTTCGATTGGCAAATTGTGAATTAAAGAAGCTAGGGTTCGTTTTATCGGATCTATATAGAATCGATTGATTCATTGGAGAGAAAAGTTTGAATTTTGGGTAGTTTTGGAAGGAGAGTGGTGGATTGATGGTACTCGAAGGGGAAAATGCAAGGCTATGCTGCATGGAAGGGAAGGTGAGGAGAGGAAAAAGATCATCAGCACATGTGGACAGGTCCCACACGTGGTAATTTGGTTGTAGCTGGTGATGATGTTTTTAATTCTTTTTTCAAGGTAATTCCTTTCTTTTTTTCTGTTTTAATATTTGGTTTTCTTTTAATTAACATTTTGGGTTTTTGATTTGTTTGTTTGGCGGGTGAGGGTGGATGGTTATTTGGGTTATTGTAGATTTATGTGATTTATGGGGGTATTGGATCAAATTTATTGTAATTCTGTGTTATCTGGATTAAATTGATGGAAAATTGGATAAACGATTGGAATAGGAAAATTGACTGTTTGATATAAGAGCTTTTGATAGATGAGCTTGATTTCAGGTGTTTCGATGTTCTTTGATTGGTGTTGAAATTGAGACTTCATGACTGTGCTTAGGCGAGATATGTATCGAGTTTTTGTTGTGTTTGTCAGTGCTAATGCTGCAATTGTTACACATTGATTTTATGGCATTCTGGGAAGTGTTGAGCTATTTTTGGGTTTTCAGGGAAGTATGGGCACAAATTGGTGTGTCAAAATTGAAGGATTTCTCTGTTGTTATATGTTTTTAGTACTTTTCTTCAACTTTGGGCAAAATTGGGTTGGTGGCAAACAATTTTCCTGGATTTATGAATTAAAAAAGAGTCAGTTTTGTATTTTGGTTTGTAGTAAAAAGGTGATGCATCCTCTGGTGTATGTTGAGCTATTTAGCTTCATCCTCAAAATGTTAATAATACTGTGCATATAGAGTAAATAGCTTCTATAAGCATTTATACAATATGAGATATGTAGCTGTCGCAATTCTTCAACAATTTTCTGGGCAAAGATGCATAAATATATAAACAGACATTTGTGGATTTGTTGGCTTTGATCGGTTAAATAGTTTATATTTGCCGTTTTCACTGATTAAATTGCTCAAGCATGTTCATTAGAGGAAGGCATGCCCTTTTTGGTGTTTTAATTTCACTCTCACTGCTCTTATGTATAAAAGACGTACCAACTTTGAAATGATTTTTACCTCAATTCATGTACGATAGCTTCAGTAAATATGGATTGTAATTTGTTAAATGAGTTCAGAGTGTATGCATGTATTATACAATTTTTAGTATTTGATAGTTAAAGGTTTGGTTTGGCATTAATTGTATACGTGTATATTTGAAATAGAAGTTTGATCACCAAAGATTTGGCGTGGAATTCTTGATATGGGGTCTGTACTTGTGTGTGTTGATTGATAGTTAAGTTTTTAATTACAGGATGCTGTTATGCGATTGGATCCTTGGGGCCATTTTAGTATCTAAAAATTTTAGGAAGGGGTTGTGTGACACTTGCAGAAGTATCTTTCTTGAAAGCGAATATAATAGTACTTGATATCTGATTGGGCAAGAAACCTTTGGGAAAGATTGTTTAGAATATAACTGGTTAAATAATTAATAATTTCCAAAAATACGAGTTTATGCAATAATTTCCATCTCTCTTTGCTTGACAGTTGATAGACAAACACTTTTGCTCATTTTTAACTGCCCACAGTTACTTGGAACTAAAATTTCAGTTTTAGGTCTTTTGAAATGTTTTTTCTTCTATTTTTTTCCATGTATCCTAGCTGAAACTAGAGTGCTTCAAATAAATGTTCCACCCTTGATGGCTTCTTACTGGCTTTCATATGAGAATTTTCTTTGCATGATGATTAAGTTAGCTCTATTGATTCAATTGCTTCATTAAATGCATAATTATTGAAATCCAGAGAGACTATGGTTTGTTAATTTATGGAAGCTGGAGCTTTTGAATCCACAAAACTCTAAATGTTGATGATCAGAATGGTAGAATAATTCGATAGGTATGATAAGAATAATCAAGTAATGATATTCCATTCAATTGTTTTGCCTAAGGTCCATTTTGAAAGGTTGTTCTGCATCTCTGTATTTGTATATGTTTCTTTATTCTTATTGAAATGATGATGCAATTTTGTTTAGTTATTTTTTTTTTACAATATAAATTGCCTAATAGTCCCTAAAACTCCCTTTTTGTATATTCCCCTAACAGGATGGACGCAAGATCAGTGTTGGAGACTGTGCTCTGTTCAAACCACCCCAGGACTCCCCGCCGTTCATTGGAATAATTCGTTGGCTTACTACTGGTAAAGAGAACAAGTTAAAGTTAGGTGTGAATTGGCTTTATCGGCCTGCTGAAGTAAAGCTTGGCAAAGGCATCCTATTGGAAGCTGTGCCAAACGAAATATTCTATTCCTTTCATAAGGATGAAATTCCTGCTGCATCATTACTCCATCCGTGTAAAGTTGCCTTCCTTCCCAAAGGTGTTGAACTTCCATCAGGGATTTGCTCATTTGTGTGTCGGCGAGTTTATGACATTACGAACAAGTGTTTATGGTGGCTAACTGATCAGGATTATATTAATGTGAGTTATAGATGTGCTTCTTGATTTTTTTTTTTTTTATATATTTGTCAATACCATTTGGTAGTTAATTTTTTTTCCACAGGAATGCCAAGAAGAAGTAGATCACTTATTGTATAAGACACGCTTAGAAATGCATGCAACAGTGCAACCAGGTGGACGCTCTCCAAAGCCAGTGAATGGCCCAACATCGACATCTCAGTTAAAACCTGGTTCAGATAGTGTACAGAATTGTGTTTCATCCTTTTCTTCTCAAGGTAAGGGAAAGAAAAGAGAACGGGGGGATCAGGGCTCTGAGCTTGTGAAACGAGAGCGCTTTACAAAAATGGATGATGGGGATTCTAGTCACAGTAGACCAGAAAGCATGTGGAAATCTGAGGTTTCTAAATTTACAGATAAAGGAGGACTCGTGGATTCTGAAGGGGTTGAGAAATTGGTGCTCTTAATGCTCCCTGAGAGAAATGAGAAAAAAATAGACTTGGTTGGGCGATCAATTCTCGCTGGTGTGGTAGCAGTCACAGATAAGTTTGATTGTCTAAATCGGTTTGTGCAGCTTAGGGGCTTGCCTGTGTTTGATGAATGGCTGCAGGAGGTCCATAAAGGGAAGATCGGTGATGGTAGCCCCAAGGACGGTGATAAATCGGTTGAGGAATTTCTATTAGTTTTACTTCGAGCACTTGAAAAGCTCCCTATAAATCTTCATGCTCTGCAAATGTGTAATATTGGCAAATCTGTGAATCATCTGCGCACCCATAAGAACTTGGAAATACAGAGGAAAGCGAGGAGCTTAGTTGACACATGGAAGAAACGTGTTGAAGCTGAAATGGATGCAAATGCAAAGTCTGGCTCTAACCAAGGTGTCCCATGGCCTGCTAGATCGCGTCTTCCTGAAGTTCCACATGGTGGCAACAGACAATCTGGTGTACCCCCTGATGTTGCAATGAAGAGCTCAGTAGTGCAACTCTCTGCTTCAAAAACTGGTTCAGTCAAGGTTGTACAGGGAGAAATCGTTAGCAAGTCTGCATCAACATCCCCAGGGCCTGTAAGATCAACAGCTTCACCTGGATCAGTGGGAAATAACTCAAAAGAAGCACAACCCCGAAATGTTGGTGCCAGTGGTGCCTCTGATCCATCTGTAACAGTAGCAAGGGACGAGAAAAGCAGCTGTTCTAGCCCTTCCCACAACAATAGTCAATCTTGTTCTAGTGACCATGCCAAAGCTGGGGGGTTTTCTGGAAAGGAGGATGCAAGGAGCTCGACTGCTGGTTCAATGACGGCAAATAAGATCATTGGTGGTTCTTTGCGGCATCGTAAATCAGTCAATGGCTTTCCAGGCCAAGCTCTATCTGGTATCCAAAAGGAAACTGGGTCAAGCAGAAATTCTTCTTTGCACAGAAATTCAGGTTCAGAAAAATTGTCACAGTCCAGTTTGACATGCGAGAAGGCACTTGATGTTCCCATGGCCGAGGGGAATGGCCATAAATTTATTGTTAAAATCCCCAACAGAGGTCGCAGTCCTGCACAGAGTGCCAGTGGAGGGTCTCTTGAAGACCCCACTGTCATGAATAGCAGAGCTTCTTCTCCCGTGCTTTCTGAGAAGCATGACCAGTTTGATCATAATCTGAAAGAGAGGAATGATGCTCATCGAGCTAATATTACTTCTGATATTAATACTGAGTCATGGCAGAGCAATGATTTCAAAGAGGTGTTAACTGGGTCTGATGAGGGAGATGGGTCCCCTGTTACTATTCCTGAAGAAGAGCACTGTCGGACTGGTGATGATTCTAGAAAATTAGCTGAAGCCTCAAAAGCTACTTCCTCATCCTCTGCGAATGAGGGAAAATTGGGGGGAAAATTGCACGATTCTTCTTTCAGCTCCATGAATGCTTTGATTGAAAGCTGTGCGAAATACTCTGAAGCTAATGCTTCGATGTCAGTTGGGGATGATATTGGTATGAACCTGCTTGCTAGTGTAGCCGCTGGGGAAATGTCCAAGTCTGATATGGTTTCACCAGCTGAGTCTCCGCTGAGAAACACCCCTGTTGTTGATCAGTCCTGCACAGGCAGTGATGTGAGACTAAAGTCCTCACCAGGTGACAACCCTGCTCGAGACCGGGGTCAGTTTGTTGATGTTTATGATGAACATGAGAAGCGGTCTGTTGTCCTTGGTACTTCACTAGCTAGGAACTTAGAGGGTAAAACCATTTTGATTTCACATGAAAAACCCATAAGGCAACTCAATGGACATTCAAATTCTTCCAATATGGATGTGCAGCAAGCTGCTGAATGTCCAGAAAGCAATGTGAAATCAGAGGAAATCTTAATGGCCGCATCAATGCCTGTGCCCTCCCCAAGCACTGTAGAGAAAACATCAAATGGTGGAGAGAAAGAAACACAAGAGGAGAAGGGGGTTGGCAGATTGAATGCAGATGCCATATCTGATTCTAAAGAAAAGTTGCAGAGCTCTATCTCAACAGAAGATAAGGTCAGCATTACAGGAATGGTAGCTGGGACTGAAGTCATTGATGGATCTTCACCTCACCTGTCTATCAAGCTTGATGGTGAGAATAAGAAAAGTATGAATGAAAGGTTGACCATTTCTATGCAAACGGAAGAGAAAACACCTACCTCAATGCATCCTGAGTTCGCAAAAGAATCCAATGTTGAAGTGCTCCAACCTTATGGATCTGGTAAGCATATGGTCTCTGAAAACATGGATGAGGTTAAGGCTGTAAAGGCCGGTGAAACTACTGAAAAAGTAAAAATTGAACATGAAAATAATACAGGCTCACCTGTTACCAGTCACAAAGGTGAGTGCATGGATGACAGTCTAGAAGGTAAGCAGGTTAATAAGCAACATGGTGATGATCCGGCTCTTCACAAGTCCACTCCTGCAATTTGTCAAAAACCAGAACAAGAAGTGAGATCTAGAGGATCCAAGTTGACTGACACTGAAGGTGATGAAACAGAGGAATGTACATCCACTGCTGCTGATGCTTCTTCTTGGTCTGCTACTGGTGGATCAGATCAGGAAACAAAAGTTGTATTTGATCTGAATGAAGGCTTCAATGCCGATGATGGGAAATATGGGGAGTCAAATAACTTGAGAGCACCTGCATGCTCTGCTTCTATTCAACTAATTAATCCCTTGCCTTTGCCAGTTTCTTCTGTGTCCAGTGGTCTTCCAGCTTCAATTACTGTGGCTGCTGCTGCAAAAGGGCCTTTTGTTCCACCAGAGGATTTACTCAAGAATAGAGGGGAGCTTGGTTGGAAGGGATCAGCAGCCACAAGTGCATTTCGGCCAGCTGAACCTAGAAAAGCTTTGGAGATTCCATTAGGTACAGCTAATATCTCTCTCACTCAAGTGGCTACTTCCAAGCCCAGTCGCCCCCCATTGGATATTGACTTAAATGTGCCTGATGAAAGAATCCTTGAGGATTTGGCTTCTCGAAGTTGCTATCAGGGTGCTGTTTCTGCAACTAACCTTGCAAATAATCATGATCAAGTCCGGGATGCACCAGTGGGTTCAGTGTCTGTCCGTAGCTTTGGGGGACTTGACCTTGATTTAAATAGAGTGGATGAGCCTAACGATATGGGTAATCACTTAACAAGCATGGGTCGTCGGCTGGATGCTCAACTTCATCCTGTCAAACCATCATCTGGTGCTCTTAATGGAAATGTGAGTGCACACAGAGACTTTGATTTGAATGATGGGCCTCTTGCTGAAGAGGTGACTGCCGAACCATCACCATTTAGCCAGCACACTAGGAGCAGTGTGCCATCCCAACCCTCTGTTTCTGGTTTGCGGATAAACAGTACAGAAATGGGAAACTTCCCCTCTTGGTTTCCCCAAGGGAATCCTTATCCAGCTGTCACGATTCAGTCAATCTTACCTGATAGAGGAGAACAGTCTTTTTCAATTGTTGCACCTGGGGGGCCTCAGAGGATGTTGGCTTCTCCCACTGGCAGCAGCTCATTTGGTTCTGATGTCTACAGAGGGCCATTGTTGTCATCTTCTCCAGCAATGCCTTTTCCGTCCACACCTTTTCAGTATCCTGTCTTTCCTTTTGGAACCAGCTTTCCTCTACCCGCAGCCACATTTTCAGGTGGTTCAACAACATACATGGATTCATCTTCTGGAGGGAGGCTTTGCTTTCCTGCAATGCCATCTCAAGTATTAGCACCTGCAACTGCAATGACTTCGCATTTTCCAAGGCCTTCTTATGTTGTTAACCTCCCAGATGGTAACAGTAATGGTGGAGCTGAGAGCAGTAGGAAATGGGGAAGGCAGGGTCTAGACCTCAATGCAGGGCCTCTAGCCCTAGATACAGAAGGGAGAGAGGAGACATCTCTTGTATCAAGGCAACTTTCTGTTGCCAGTTCACCGGCCCTCACAGAGGAGCAATCAAGGATGTATCAATTGGCTAGTGGAAGTCTCTTGAAGAGAAAGGAGCCAGAGGGTGGTTGGGAAGGCTATAAGCAATCCTCATGGCAGTAATGGTGAATAACTGCAATATCCACTGATCCACCTGTAAGTTTTTATCATGTGCTCAATATCTGTGTGCTTTTCTCATTTTCTCCACCTTGAGCTTCACTAGGCCACATGTCCTTTTGCTTGTGCTGTTGCCTTCCTTTTTCAAAGAAGTAAAAACTCTGATTGCATTCTTTGCAGCATGAGTTATATTAAATGCTTGCTTAAGCCAAGGTCATTAAATTATTTCAAAAATGTTTTTCGATTTCAGATCTTTTGGATGGGGTGCTAGCTAACTCCAAGAGACATCATCTAACTTGTGCTCTCAAGGATGGGTGGTAAGTGAGTTATTTGATGTTGTTCAGTCTCCGACCCCCACCCTTTCGCTGTACCAATTGCATCTTAAAGGAATCCATCCGGGATCTTTAGCTGTGATTTCTTGAATTTGTACTGGGTGGATGCGGTTCACTTTTTCCCTTGTAGATATTTTAACTGATGGAAAGCAGGCACTTTGTGACTGTCTTGTTGCCCATACATTAAAAAATGGTGCCCATACTGTTGTTCGGTGCATCAACAATTTATACTGTTGGACCCAAAATCATCCTTTTCCAACCATTCTGAGAATGAGTGGAGGTTGGATTAATGAACTGCTTTAAGCAGAAGCCTTTTCTATTTGCTTTGCTGTTGTTTTATCTTTCTTTCTTTTCCCTCAATTTTTTTCACTCGTATATATATAAGCGGAATGGTTAGTGAATTTTGGTACCTGAGCTTCTCTTGTTCTGGCACATGGTTTAGTTGCTCTGATTGGTTGTTTTATTCCATTTTCAATTTATTTCATTTTATTAACCTGGTGTAGATTTTTGCATAAGGGTATAAATTAATCTAGGTTTGTATTTTTGACACTCCTCCACTTGGGGTCTTATGCTTACCATTTATATTATGCGCCGTCATCTATCAAAATTGGCATTTTCATATGCCATGCGCTGTGTGTTTTGATTGCAGGAGCTGGCTTCTTTTGATAAGAGTGCTATTCTTTCATTTCAAATTTCTCAATATACTGTATTTTTTATTAATGGAATTTGAATGAAAATGACTTGTATGCCTTCTTATGGTTCTCAGCCGCTGTGACTCTGTTATGGAAATTATCATGTTATTTTCCTTTTCAGTTCCATTTCCATTTTGGTCTTGAGATTCGAGCTGCACATCATGTGGCACTATTGACATGATGGCGGAGGTAGTTATTTGTGTTGCACTTGAAGTATTTCATGTCTTAGAACGGAGAACTGTGTTCTATATTATGATTATTGGTGTTTCATAATCCTTGCCTCACTTTTCAGTGATACATATGCTAAGGACTGCAGGTTTTTGTTTATGGTGGTCTTGAAGTCAATTTTGGTTTCAGTGGTAAGAATGGGCATGATGTTGTTTGTTCGATTGATATTGTAGTCCTCACTGCCTGTCAAGAGTCATTTTCAAGATCCCAAGAGATCCAGTGTGGCCTTTGATCTTTGACCTTTTCGAAGCATCTCAAATTTTTTTTTTTTTTTGGCAGTTAACTTTTGTTAGGTCCACACCACGTTCTGTATTATTTCCTTATTTCACGGCTATTTTGTATTGGTGTCATGTTGAGAAATGAGAATGTGCTTTATTCTGGGTTTTGCTCGTGCAGGTTGTCAATTTTGGGCACTACCTTCCTGGTCATAGCTGAATTGCATTTTATTTTATTTATTTATTGGGTCCTTGAAAAACGTCTTTCCCATTAGATGATCCAATAGTGTGCCGCTTGGATGAAAGAAAATTTGTAATTTAGTATGCCCACTGGTGATTTGAGTTAAATGTTTGGACCATGAACTGCTTGCCTTCCTTTGCCCTAGGAAACGTCCTTGCATGCAGCACAATTTGTAGAATGGGTTTCTAGCTTGATGGAGTCCTGCTCTTCTAACTATAGTATGCGCTCAATCCTTAATGGAATCTGTCGATATTTATTTTTTCCTGTTCTAGGCACTTGCCAAACACTCATGCTACCTTGTGCAGAAAAAAGAGAAAAAAAGGAGCAAGGGTTTGAATGCAGGAGTTTGATTGTACTGTTATGATTCAGTGGTCGAAGAGAAACCTTTTGTGGACTAGTGATGCTTCGAGTTCAAAACTGTTACTTTAAAAAGCTTATGTTCTCATGGCAGGTCTGAGTGGATGTTTCTGTGTCATGTTTAGCAGATATCCTTTGCACATAATTGCGAGTCTAAACCCATCTCGTACAAGTGTTAAGTCCACCCATGTTGACTACTCCTGTTTAACGAGGGTCCAAAGAAACAAAGAGGTGTTGAACTTGCTATGGAATACGAACTTCCCAGTCTCTCTGTTCTTTTTGTTCCAACTTCATCTGCAAGCACTTAAAATGTTTGCTAATTGTTCTTATCGGATTAGCAAGGCTGCTTCCTCCATTGCCCAGCCTTGACAAGCACCCTTTTGTATTAACAGACTGGAACTATCAACAAACAAAGAATCTAAAAACAACAACCAAAACTAAGGGAGCATTTTACACCATCATTTCCTAAACCAACGACATTAAACACGCTAAATCCCTACTTTACTACCCTTCTCTAATAATGTCTCAATACCTATTCTCATGTTCCAAACCTTGCAATCATCATCATATTGGACTTCAGTTTTGCAATACATCCAACCTATATTTTCAACCTCATAATTCCCTCTCCTTACATATTATATGTCCAAAATTTGCACCAATTAAGGTGCATAGCATGCTATACCATTTCCATACACAAACTGCCAAACTAGATCCGACTCAATTGGTCCCTACATAGCCCAAAATGTTATGCTACTAATTGCATAATTTGTTTAAGAGTACAATTCATCAACTAGTAATTTACTAATTTGTATCAACTTGTACATTGCATCAATAAAACAGTAAATCAAAATCCTAATATGGCATGTAAAAACAGCTTGTAGATGACTAGATTGGACATGCTTATGCAATGCATTTTCCTTTGCTTATTATGTGTTGAAAATTAAATCAATGATAGTATGACATTGTACAAAATATAGTTCATATCACCACAACATAAGCACTTATATATTTACAAAACATCTAAAAATAGTTATTACAAAGTATCACCGAATTAAATTCAAAATTTGACAACACAAGTAGTTATTATAAAGCATTATAAAGTTAATGACGAGTAAGCCACGGCTAGTAAGGATTGCAATTTACAAGGAGAAAATGGTATTAACAAATTGAAAATCTCACATCAATTCATCACTACTCGTGTACTATATCGTCACCAAATTGCATTTACTCAAACCATTTTACCATAATACCTTACCGATAATCGTGCCTAATACATTATTGTTATCATTTATCAATAAAAAAAGAGACCGACCTTAAAAGAGCTTGCGAGAAAAGGAAGACACGAAGAGCAATTGAGGCGACTCGAGTAAGAGGATGAAAGTGGTGAGCGATGAGGATGATAGTGACTCGTGAGATCGGAGGAAGATGATAGGGGTTATTAGGGTCCGGGTTGTGACTTGTGACTTATGAAGGGTGAGCAAGCCGGAGCCTAGAGGACTAGAGTGTAACCCCCGTGAAATTCTTTAACCTAGCTATACGTATCGATATATAAATCTATCATTTTTTCTAAAAGTGTGACATCTAGCCCACTTGGATTTTTAAATGGTCAATTTGTTTCCCATTTCGTCTCATCATTTGACCTTTATTTATCATAAAATTTTGACACTTGGACTATTAATAAATGAAGGAAAAAAGTGTGATATAAGATTTAAAAGAAAGTCTGAAGTCTTACCATTTTTCTTGACAAAAATCGTAGCTTCCAAGAGAGGAGAGGTAGACGGCTTGTGAGAGAAAGAAAGAGAGAAAAGAAAGGAGAAGAAGAAAGGAAAGAAAGAAAGGAGAAAACGAAGAAAAAGTCTAAGAAATCTTAAGCAAGCTTATATCATTGTAAGTAGGTTTCATTTTAGCTTTATTTATGCCTTAAGTTCTATTTTACATGTTCAATTTATGGGTTATGTTTTACGCTATGTAATATATTATCATGGTAGCTTGTGTTGATGTTATGCTTTGATGTTTTGTGATGGATCTAGTATGCTTGTTTTGATGTGCATTTCATGATGAACTTTATGTTGGATTGCACAAGTATGATGATGGATAGATGGCAAGTTGATGTATCCTTGTGAAATTCATGTGTGATGGATGTTTATGCATGTGTGGATGGGTTTAGTTTGGTTATAACCATATGGGTTTGGAAGATGTGTGTGAATGGGCTTGGATGAAAACAAATGAACTTGGATTAAAATAAGATGGGCTTGGATTAAAACAAATAGACTTGGATTAAAACAAGATGGGTTTGGATTAAAATAAAATGGGCTTGGATATCCTAAGAACACTTATTGGGCCTTGATACTAAAATGGTCAAGTTGGATTTATGTTTATGGACCTAAAGATCTAGACTTCCAAGGTAATCTACTTAAGTATAATTTAGTATCTTAAGATGGAAAGAAAGAACTTAGAAACAAAAGACAAACTTTTGCCTCCAATTAACCCATTCGGTCAAAAATCCTAGAATTTCGATTTTGAATATCATTTACCCAAATTATGAATCAATGGTTTAAATATATTTAAATAAGCATAAAATAAAGGGTAGAAAGGTTAGACCCTAAGAAAAATGAAAATTTTGGTTTTTACTAGGAAACACTTGACTTAAACCCGACTTTTAGAGATTGAGTTCCAAACAACTAACTTCATGAGTAATGCTTTCTTTATACTCTAATAAGTATAAAATGAAGTATTAGAAGATGATGATTCAAGAAAAATCAAAATTTGGACTTGGAACCACTAAAATTATAAGTCGACTATTAAGGCTCATATTAAATGTCATTTAAACTAGGACTAAAATATGGGACTTGAGTAAACCTAATGGATGGGTTATGTATTTCGTATGAGAGTACCATGAAAATATTGATGAAGTCCCAAGTGTGGATTGAATTTCCAAAATGATATGGACATAGAGAGTTTGGTGCCTATGAGATATGAAATGTGGTTCATGATACATCACATGCATCATATGTATCCGGAAAATAGTTTGACTTGAGAAAAACAAGTGAGTCAAAAACGATGAGGCTTGCTAACCGAATCGGATTGAATTGGATAGGTTTGGTAACCTACTCGAAATAAATGGGTATTAACGGTCTAGCTTGTGTGCGTACTTTAAGCTATGTGCTCGCATTGTTAGACGATGGATTCCCACTAACGGTGGCTACAACAAGAGATAATTTCTTTTTTAATAGAAGGTGATTTGGTAATCACTTGGATTAAAAATAGAGTAGACCTACTAAATACCCAAGGTACTCGGAATTAAAATTTGATGAGTCAAGGCGAGAGGAGTTAGAAAATCATTACATATCACGTGCATCACCCTACTTACCGAGCTTCGGCTCACTCGTGTTTATTTCATGATATAATAAGAAAAGACGATAATAATGTCGTTAATGAAGCTGCCAGGTTCTTTCTAGAAAAAGACTTATGTGTGACCCGACAATTATAGGATCTACTTTTGATTGTAAATTATATTTTGTAACTTTTGTAATGATATTCGGTACCTTGTGTATGTGTATGAGATTAAAATTTGAGACTTCGTTCTTTAAATTGTGGTGCACCCGACCACGCCTTTTAGGTAATTGGTAAGGGAGCTGGGGGCGTAGCATAAAGTGGAAAGTGGAGAAGAAAGGAATGAAGCCAAAGGAGATTAGGGAAGAAGAAAAAAGGAGAACCGAGTGGGCGGTAGCAGTGAGACGATGAGATGAGTTGATGGATGATGATTGCGTGAGTCGGTAGGGGAGTGAGAGAAGAGACTCGAAGTTTTTGTTAGGACTTAGGAGGCGGTTAGGGTTAGGGATTTAGAATTAGATTAGGAACTTTTCAATTTTCTCTCGTTCATTTCGATTTTTGGTTCGAACCGAGTTTTTTTTCAAAACCAAATCGAACTCGAAATAATTTTGGTTTTTCGGTTTGATTTTAAATTGTGTAATTTTAAATTCAAAATCAAACTAAATTCCTTAATTCGGTCCGGTTCTATTCAATTTTTGGTTAACCGAACCGTTTTCTCACTCCTAAAAATTAGTCTCTCTTACTTTGAGAAATGAATTAATTAGTTCTTTTGATTTTAAAAAATAATTATTTAATTTTTTTAACAAGTATCGACCATGACTAATTTATTTTTTTATTTTTTAAAATGTCTTCTTTTCTCATCAATCTTTTTATAGTTTTATCTATTTTTTCTTTTCTATTTCTTCAAACAAAAAGTTATAAAAAAAATTAAAAAAACAACAAAAATGAAAAAAAAAACATTAGTTTTTGAAATCGGGGGAACTAATTAATTTGTTTTCATAAGAAAGAGACTAATATGTAATTTACTCTTGAGTTGCAATTTGCTCTTCTCCTACGAAATATGGAAGGAAAAAGGGTAATGATAGTAGCATTAAATGCTCTGTCACAAAAGAAAGTGATTGACGAAAAAAGGGTAAATGAGAAATAAAAAAAGAGAATCGAGTTAAGGATAAATATGGATTTTTGCAAATCCATTGAATGGTAATAAGTGTAATTAAGAGTAAAAGATAAGGCCATTTATAATGCGAAGAAAAAAAAAAAAGAAAAATGACTAAAAAGGAATAAAGAAGAAAATTAAAAAAAGAATCGATCAAGAACAATTGTGGATTTTCATAAATCCACCGAATGATAATGAGAGTAATTAAGAGAAAAAAGGAGGTTGTTTATAAAAAAAAAAAAAAAAAGCTCAATCTACGGTACAATTGGGTGAGGATGAACAATTTAGCAATAGAAAAATCACCACTTGTTTTAGTTTCTTCGTAATTATAGCCTCAACCAGTCGTACTCTCACTCTTTGAGGGAAAAGGTTCTTCACGATTTTAGCCAAAAAAAAAAAAAAAAACAAACCGAAATTGGATTGAAACCAATTACTAGTTCTTTTTTATTCTACAAGCTCTAGAGAAGGATATTACTTTCTTCATAATCTTGGGTAGCTACTAGAAATTTTATAATACTTAATGAGTAACTAGTATAAATTACTTCATAAAAAGAGATGGACATAAAAACAGAAAGATATAGGAGAAGGAAAAATTAAAAAAGAAATTTGAGCAAAAGTGAAAATCTTCATATTCACTTTTGATGGATCCGGAAGTGATTCTCGCTTTTTTTATATGTCTATCTCTCTTTTCAAAAGTGAACTCTTGAAGTATTTACTATAGATGTATACTAGTTATTCATTGAGTATTATAAAATTTCTCGAGTAGCCACCCCACGAACTAATTAGTTCTTCAAACAAGTTGTATTAGTTGGTTTTGAAATTTCAAAATTTTAAGGGGTTAGCCTAGTAATTAAAGAGATTTATTTTCTTCTTTGACCCCTTAAGTTTAAACCTTGACCAACATTTAAGAGAATTTATTAAATTTTTCCGAATATATTAGATCGATATACATGATGTGTCTTTAAAATTATTTAACAACAGATTTACTTTCAATTAATGTTCAAATTGGTTCAAGAATACTCTTATCGTAAAAAAAAAAAGGTAGAATTAAAAACTAGTAAATAATGAAACAACATATGTGCAAAATATGTTAAGATGAAACTAGATGTTTGTTTGACCATATGATGCATATGCTTTTGTAAAAATACATTTTCAGTGCAAAAAGAACAAATTCCATTCTTTTTCAAATGCTTTTCTATGGTCTTAACTTTTTCATGTCAAAATCATTCAAATACAAGGAAAAAAAGATTGATTTTTTTTATTTTTTATTTTTTTCCCTCCAGTCAAAATCACTTTGAAAAACAATTTCTAAGATAGTGTAAAAAACGAGCCCTAGATCATATCAAAAGTCGTAGATCCGACCCAAAAAACAATAGAGGCTAAAAAGGCCAGGCCCGTTGAAAACTTTTGACAGGGACAGGTCCGGTCCATGATTTAGTCTATCTACCACGTACATCTTTCCTTTTTTGCCGTCTCTCTCTCCATCTACGATTTCTCTTTTGCTCGCTCGCTCGCTCGCTCGCCTTTTCTTTTTCCATTATTTTCTCTCTCTAGATTCTCCCTATCTCTCTTTCTCACTCAAAATCGAAACAGCATCTCTAATTTAACGGATCGCATATCGAATGATTTTAGGAATTAATTGATTGTGGTCAAATTAGAGTTTGAATTGCTCTTAGAAACGGTCTATGGAAGCTAGGGTTTTTTATGTTTTCAATCTTTTTGGCCTTGGGTGGATCTAGGGTTTTTGAATTGGTGAATTAATTGAGAGGGTTGTGTAAGTTAGGGTTAAGGGTTGATGGTACTCGAACGGGAAAATGCAAGGCTATGCTGCATGGGCGGGAAGCTGAGGAGGAGAGGAAAAAGGATCGTATTCGGCACATGTGGACTGCTCCCACACGTGTTAACAACAATTCAGTTGTAGGTGCTCCTGATTTCATTTCCTCTCCTTCCCCTTCTCCTTCTCCTTCTTCGTTATCTTCAGCTGATTCATTTTACAAGGTACTCCTTTTCTTTTGGGCTTTTGTTTTTGTTGTTTTTCTCTCTGCTATTTTTAGGGTTTTGTTTTTATTATGGGGGTTATTGGATTGAAATTCATCGTAACTCTGTGTTGTTTTTTTTTTTTTTTTTTTCCGCAATGATGGACAATTGGTTAAATAACTTCCTTCTTTGATATAAGAATGAAAAATTATTTGTTTGATATAGGAATTAAAGGAATTGGCTCAGATTGTCTTTGGTTTCTGTTAATTTGGAAATTGTACAATTCAGTTAGTATTGGCTTCGCAGTTACAATTCTCAGTTGGGTTCTCGGAAATATGAAAATAAATTGATTTTCTGTTGCTACATGATATTGATGTTTAAATTGGGTTCGGGGGCAATTTTCTTTCTTGTGCTTGTGAATTTTTTAAGCAGTAGGTTTTAATTTCAATTTCACTCTTTTTTTTTTTTTTTTCCCTTTGTGACTGTTGACAGCTTTGTTCCTGTTAGCTGTGCAAAAGTGTTAATTTGAATGATTTCTCTCTCCTGACATCTCATCATAGCACAATCATCTGCTTCGAGGCTTTTGTATGTAATTTCATTTTCTGGTTGATGGCTCGGTTTAGATTTATAGATATATGAAGTGTTTAATCAACTTATTAATGAAAAAGCAGTGATTTTTAATCCATGAAGTTCATGAGGGTGATTATCCAGTGGTTTGTCAATGATATCCTTATTATGATGGGAATGACCACTTGATGATATTCCATTCAGCAATCATTTAAGCTGTTGAAATGCATGCTACGTTTTATATATTAGCAAATGTTATTTATATGAAGATGCACTTTTAATAAGTAACCTAAAGTGCCCTTTTTTTCCCTCCAACAGGATGGACGCAAGATCAGTGTTGGAGACTGTGCTCTGTTCAAACCACCGCAGGACTCCCTCCTTTCATTGGAATAATTCAAAGACTTACTTCTGGTAAAGAGAACAAGTTCAAGTTAGGTGTAAATTGGCTTTATCGTGCTGCTGACATAAAGCTTGGCAAAGGCATCCTTTTGGAAGCTGCGCCAAACGAAGTATTCTTTTCCTTTCACAAGGATGAAATTCCTGCCGCATCATTACTACATCCGTGTAAAGTTGCCTTCCTTCCAAAAAGTGTTGAACTTCCATCAGGGATTTGCTCATTTGTGTGCCGGCGAGTTTATGACATTACAAACAAGTGTTTATGGTGGCTAACTGATCAGGATTATATTAATGTGAGTTGTAGCTGCACTTCTTGAATTGCTTTGAATTGACAATTCTGTTTGGTGGTTAACTCTTCTTTACACAGGAACGGCAACAAGTAGTTGATGAGCTATTATCTAAGACACGCTTAGAAATGCATGCAACAGTTCAACCAGGTGGATGTTCTCCGAAGACGATGAATGGTCCAACTTCAACATCACAGGTAAAACCTGGTTCCGATAGTGCACAGAATAATGCCTCCACCTTTCCTTTGCTATCTAAGGGCAAGAAAAGGGAGCGTGGAGATCAAGGGTCTGAGCCCATTAAACGAGAACGTTTTACTAAGATGGATGATGGGGATTCTGTTCATAGACCAGAAAGCATTTGGAAATTTGAGATTTCTAAATTTACAGAGAGGGGGGCTTGTGGATTCTGAAGGGGTTGAGAAATTGGTGCATCTCATGCTGCCTGAGAGGAATGAGAGAAAAGTAGATTTGGTTGGCCGGTCAATACTGGCTGGTGTGATAGCAGCCACAGATAAGTTTGATTGCCTAAATCGGTTTGTGCAGCTGAGGGGCTTGCCTGTATTTGATGAATGGCTGCAGGAGGTGCATAAAGGGAAGATTGGTGATGGTAGTAGCCCCAAGGATATTGATAAATCTGTTGAGGAATTTCTATTAGTTTTGCTTCGTGCACTGGATAAACTCCCTATAAATCTTCATGCTCTGCAAATGTGTAATATTGGCAAATCTGTGAATCATTTGCGGACGCATAAGAATTTGGAAATACAGAAGAAAGCAAGGAGTTTGGTTGACACATGGAAGAAGCGTGTTGAGGCTGAAATGGATGCAAATGCAAAGTCTGGCTCTAACCCAGGTGTCTCCTGGCCTGCTAGATCGCGCCTTACTGAAGTTTCGCATGGTGGGAACAGACCATCTGGCGTATCCTCTGAGGTTGCAATGAAGAGCTCAGTTGTGCAAATCTCTGCTTCGAAAAGTGGTCCGGTCAAGCTTGTCCAGGGGGAGACTGTGACCAAGTCTGCATCATCTCCCGGGCCGATAAAATCGGCAGCATCACCTGGCTCAGCTGGTAATAATTTGAAGGATGGACAGCCCAGAAATACTGGTGTCAGTGGCGCCACAGATTTACCTGTATCAGCAGCAAGGGATGAGAAAAGCAGCAGTTCTAGCCAGTCCCACAACAACAGTCAATCTTGTTCTAGTGACCATGCCAAAACTGTGGGATTGTCAGGAAAGGAGGATGCAAGGAGCTCCACTGCTGTTTCAGTGCCAGCAAATAAGACTGTGGGTGGCTCTTTGCGGCATCGTAAATCAGTTAATGGGTTTCTAGGCTCAGCTGTATCTGGGGCCCAAAGGGATAGTGTGTCGAGCAGAAGTTCTCCCTTGCACAGAAATCCAGGTTCAGAGAAATTACAGCACTCCAGTTTGGCATGTGAAAAGGCACTTGATGTTCCTGTTGCTGAGGGGAACAGTCATAAATTTATTGTCAAAATTCCCAACAGAGGTCGCAGTCCAGCACAAAGTTCCAGTGGAGGAAATTTTGAAGATGCTTCAGTCATGAATAGCAGGGCCTCTTCTCCTGTACTTTCGGAGAGGCATGACCAGTTTGATCATAATTTGAAGGAAAAAAATGACTCAGATCGAGCTAATATTACATCTGATGTTAAGACTGAGTCGTGGCAAAGCAATGATTTCAAAGAGGTGCTTACTGGGTCAGATGAGGGAGATGGGTCACCTGCCACTGTTCCCAATGAAGAGCATGGTCGGACAGGTGATGATACTAGAAAATTAGGTGAAGTCTCAAAAGCTACACCCTCCTCGACTGTGTATGAACATAAACTGGGGAAGTTGCATGATGCTTCTTTTAGCTCCATGAATGCTTTGATTGAAAGCTGTGCAAAGTATTCTGAAGGAAATGCATCTATGTCAGTTGGTGATGATGTTGGTATGAATCTGCTTGCTAGTGTAGCTGCTGGGGAGATGTCCAAGTCTGATATGGTTTCGCCAACAGATTCTCCACGGAGAAACATGTCTATTGAGCACCCCTGTGCACCCAGTGGTTTGAGAGCAAAATCATCTCCATGTGATGATGCTGCTCAAATCAGAGGTAAGCCTGTTGACAGTGAAGATGAGAAGAGGGGCATTATTGTTGGTACTTCGCTGTCCAAGAATACAGAGGCCAAATCAGTTCTGTTTTTGCAAGGAAAATGCACAGGGGAGCTCAATGGACCTCCCACCCATGTGGATGTGCAGCAAACTGCTGAACCATGCCTAGAAAGCAATGTGAAATCAGAGGAAATATTAGTAGCTGCTGTATCTTCTGCTAGCATGGTGGTGAAAACATCGAATTGTGGGGGCAAAGAACCGTGGGAGAAAGAGGGCGGTGGCAGATCAAATGTAGATGGCATATCTGATGACAAAGAAAAGTTGCATGGTTCTGTCTTAACCGAGATCAATAATATAGGAATGCAAGTTGGGACTGAAGCAATGGAAGGATCATCATCAAGCCATCTCGCAGAGGTTGATGGTGCAAACAAGAAAAATATGAAGAAAGAGCTGAACGTTTCTATTAAGGCAGAGCCAAAACAAACTGCTATGTTGCACTCTGATTTTGCAAAAGGAACCAATGATGAAGTGCTCCAACCTTCTAGTTCTAGTAAGGATATGGTTTCTGAAAACAAGCATGAGATGAAGGCTGGTGAAACAGATGGCAGGAGTCATTGGACTGAGAAAAATAAAATGGAACATGAAATTAATACAGGCTCAGCTGCAACTGATCATGAAGGTGAGTGCAAGGTGGAGAGCCCGCGAGGCAATCAGGTCAATGAGCGATGTTGTGCCGTACCAGCTGCTCATGAGGCAGCACCCACACTTGTTCAGGCACCAGAACAAGTAGCGAGGTCAGCAGGGTCGAAGTTGGCTGGCACAGGAGCTGATGAAACTGAGGAATCTACATCTGCTGCTGCTGATGCTTCTTCTTTATCTGCTACAGGGGGATCGGATCTGGAAGCGAAAGTTGAATTTGATCTGAATGAAGGCTTTATTGCTGATGATGGGAAATATGGGGAGCCAAATAACTTGAGAGAACCTGTATGTTCTGCTGAGAGTAAGCTAATTAGCCATTTTCCCTTACCAGTTTCTTCTGTGTCTAGTGGGCTTCCTCCTTCCATTACAGTAGCTGCTGCTGCAAAGGGGCCCTTCGTTCCACCAGAGGATTTACTTAAGAGTAGAGGGGAGCTTGGTTGGAAGGGATCAGCAGCCACAAGTGCATTTCGGCCAGCTGAACCAAGAAAAGCTTTTGAGATTCCATCAGGTACAGCCACTATGTCACTCCCTGATGCAAATTTTTCCAAGCCTGGTCGCCCCCTGTTGGATATCGACTTGAATGTTCCTGATGAAAGAATCCTTGAGGATTTGGCTTCACGAAGTTCTGCTCAGGATACAGTGTCTGTCTCTGACCGTGCAAAAACTAATGATCGTCCATGTGATGCATTGATGGGTTCAATGTCTGTTCGAAGCTCTGGGGGACTTGATCTTGATTTGAATAGAGTGGATGAGGCAAGTGATATGGGTAATCACTTAACAAGCATTGGTCGGAGACTGGATGCCCCACTACATCCTGCCAAATCTTCATCAGGTGGTCTTCTAAATGGAGAGGTTAGTAGTCGCAGGGACTTTGATTTGAATGATGGCCCTCTTGTTGATGAGGTGAGTGCTGAACCATCACCACTTGGCCAGCATACCCGAAACATTGTGCCATCCCAACCATCCATTTCTAGCCTTCGGATGAACAGTACAGAAATGGGAAACTTTCCCTCCTGGTTTCCTCAAGGGAATCCTTATCCTGCTGTCACAATCCAATCTATCTTGCATGATAGAGAGCAGCCTTTCCCTGTAGTTGCAACTGGTGGGCCACAGAGGATGTTGGCTCCCTCTACTGGCAGCAACCCATTTAATCCTGATGTCTACAGGGGAGCAGTGTTGTCATCTTCTCCAGCAGTGCCGTTTCCATCTTCTCCTTTTCAGTATCCTGTCTTTCCTTTTGGGACCAACTTCCCTCTTACCTCGGCAACATTTTCAGGTGGTTCAGCATCATATGTGGATTCATCATCTGGTGGGAGGCTTTGCTTTCCAACAGTACCCTCTCAAGTATTAGCACCACTAGGTGCAGTCTCATCTCATTATCCCAGGCCTTCTTATGCTGTTAACTTCCCAGACAGAAACAATATTGGTGCCACAGAAAGCAGTAGGAAATGGGGAAGGCAGGGTCTAGATCTCAACGCAGGGCCTCTAGGCCCAGACATTGAAGGTAGAGATGAGACCTCAGCTCTTGCATCGAGGCAACTGTCTGTTGCCAGTTCACAGGCCCTCGCAGAGGAGCGATCAAGGATGTATCAAGTGAGCAGTGGAGGTGTTCTGAAGAGGAAGGAGCCAGAGGGTGGATGGGAAGGTTATAAGCAACCCTCATGGCAGTAGGGATGAATGGTGACACAATCCAGTGATTTACCTGTAAGTTTTTGTCATTTACTGTCAATATATGTGTTCTCTTTGTGTTTCACCTTGGACCTTCATTAGATGAGTTATCTGCAAGGTAGGTGTGCTTTTGCCTTTTGTGATCAAGCGAAGGGGGAAACCTTCTTTAACTGGCATTTTTTTTGGGCATGAATTGCACTAAGATCTTGCTAACAGGTCAACTAATTGTCTCTGTTTTTGCTGTGTTTTCAATTGCAGTTCTCCCAGATGGTTGTTGGCTAACTTCAAAAGATCGTCTAACTTGTGGTCTCAAGGATGGGTGGTAAGTGAATTATATGATGTTCAGTCTCCGACCCCCACCCTGTTGCTGTACCCATTGTACCTTAAAAGGAATCTGTCTGGGGTCGTTGAGCTGTTATTTCCATGAATTTGTACTGGGTGGCTGCAGTTCACTTTCCCCTTTGTAGATATTTTAACCAATGGAAAGCGTGCATTCTGTGACTGTTTCCCAGACATTCGAAATTGGTGTCCATACTGTTGTTCAGTGCATCAACAATTTATACTGCTGGACACAAAACCATCCTTCCTTTTCCAACCATTCTGAGAATGAATGGCGATTGGATTAGTAAACTGCTTTAAGCAGAAGCCCTTTTGTATGTGCTTTGTTGTTAAGCAATCTTTCTTCATTTATCTTTTCATTTTCTCTCTTTTAATCACATACAAATAAGCAGAGTGGTCCATGAATTTTGTGCTCAAGCTTTTCTTGCTCTGGCATATGGTTTAGTTGCTATGGTTGGATGCTGTATTCCTTTTAATTTATTCTATTTTTTTAACCTGGTGTAGATTATTTGCTACCCATCCAATTCTACCCAACTTTGCTACTGTCTTCACATGAGGGTGTCCGAACTCTAAACTAATCTAGGTTTGTATATGACAAATTCCCATTTCTGTTCTATATTCGACCAACAATATAACACCCTGTAATGATCTTTTAAAATTTTCTTTTGTGCCATCATTGTTTTGTTGTTGGAATTGGCTTCCAGAATACGAGATCCTTTGCATTGATAGCTGTTGTTGCAGTTCAATTTCTCTTGGTGTTCGGTATGTTTGGTTGAAGCTTGATAGGATGGTTCGTTGTGGAAATTGTATATGTATTTTTTGCCTAGGTTTGAGATTGGAACAAAAATTGTTGAACCACTATAATAGGTAAAATCTAATCTAGTGTTGAATTGCATCTTGGAAATTTCAAGATTTTAGGATTTGTCATCTCTAGGGTGATTTATAATTCGTGTCTTGACTCAACGGAATACTTGTTTGTGCCCACTGCTGCAGTTTCGTGTGTAAGGAACCGTTAGGTGATAAGAATGGGCATGGTTATGCATTGAAACCTAAATCTTAACCGAAACCATTTCAATTTTGAAGTTTCAAGCCATCTCTTGTGGTTCTTTGCTTCTGTTGTTGTGTTGGATGCAGCTGTTTTTTTTTTTTTTTCAATTTTCGTGTATGGGTACTCCTTACTCAATTTGGTGGTGACGGTTGAGACTGGTTTTATTCTCAACCTTGTCTGTGCAAGAATTAAATTTTTTTGGGGGAAGTCTTGAATGCCTTGATGGTGTGGATTGCTGCATATTGTAGTGAAAATGACGGTTGTAATTGTTATATGATGTCGGATAGCAGGGTGTTTTGAAATCATTATATGATGACTGTTACATAAAGCGACGGTCCTTATTTGTCTCTCAAATTGTTATATAAAGTAACAGTCATTATTTAAATCTACGATAGTCTCAAATTTGGGGTCTTTTATGATTTTTGGGAATAACGGTACTTAAAAATCGAAGGACTATTATATTTAACATGAGTTACACAAACTGGTCTTTTATCAGTAGTAACCGGTCGTTAGTTTTGATGTTTTTGAAAAGCGAAGATATTTACAAAGATAGCTAGCATTAGCAGTCCTCATCTTTGGATGTGGATGGTGGGAAAAGCAACAAAATAGCATTGGCCAACAAAGGGCAGCAAAAGTATTTTTAAGTATCGCCCTGCACAGTCTCGTATCCTAATTTTTCTTTGCATTCATAACAATCAGCTTATTGATAATGAAGTGGGGAAAAAAGTAAACAGAAAATCAACTTGGTAGAAGGAAGGAAAAACAAATAATCATTTCTTACTACTAGTGTTGAACAAAAAGGTCAGGAAAGATACTATGTACGATAAAAACTTCTGTATGTAACAAAGCCAGCTGAGCTCCAACTTTTTACAATGAGTTACAACATATAAATTAGTGTGCAAGGAAATACTGAGTATCTTTTTTCCATTGAAATTAGAGAGCAAGGAGCTATGCCGCAGTCAAAATATATTGCATTCGAAATCAAATTCGCAGGGCCCAACGTCTTGAGGTATATATATATATATCTTGAGTAGTGTAGTACCACAGTTATGCCAAAAGCTAACCACCTTGGAGACGAAAGGGAGGCATTCTTCATTGGAGACACACAAGCCTTCTCCCGCAGAAGACATTTCTGTATTTCACATGAAATCATGCAAAAGGTTTAGAGAAGCTCAGTTTTTGAATAGCACAAGCAAGTAAAACATATATGATTTAGATTGAAGCATACAGGTTTAAAAAAAAAAAAAAAAGAAACTGGCAAAAATGGGTTTTATTAATGCAAAGAGCAGAAGTCCTCCAACAGAACATTCTGGGCACGCAAAGTAAAACCATGAAGGGGTGAGAGGAGACCTCTTCTTCAGTAGTTATCTCTGCGGGAGTGCACATCAAATAACATCATAGATATTAAGACAAGTTAATGACAATTGACTGAGACAGTGAAATCACTCTAATAAGTCCCTAGTTCTGTCCTTCTACACTGGGACGTGTAAGCATTCTGAGTACACACAGCTGGCTATTGCAATTTGCAACAATGGCAAACTCGATCCTATAAGACCTATTAGCAGGACATAACGCCATTTCTAATATATGCAACATAACCAGATCTGCTCATTCTTCATGCTTTCTCTGTGACAAGTATAGACATGACAAAAGAACACTACTCACGAGAACAGTAACTGTAGCATTGTATTATATCGATGAGGGTTGAAATCTTAAACACCTGGTGCCAATATCTTATGGCTTATGCTCTCAGAAATCAACTTATGTTTCTAACAGAGGCATCAAGGTTAAGTCAACTAGAAAATTAATAAAAAGATATGGTTCAATTAAGGAATGAATATGTCATTTACTTTTCCAGCTTTTAACACCAACCATGCATTCCATCAAAATTAATTGAAAATCTCTCTCTCTCTCTCTCTCTCTCTCTCTATATATCTACTCTCTCTCTCTCTCTATATATATATATATAAACCTATTAGAACACTTACGTTGCACAATGAGTCGGTAAATATCCATGAGACTACAATCTCAGTCTCTTCCATATTACATCCCAATACACCACCTTACGTTGATCGATGAATAAATATTATATCTATGAGACTATTATTTTCTATTCTTCCAACTCTATCTCCAAAAGACCTCTCTCTCTCTCTCTCTCCCAATCATTTTGATATGCCATTCCAATATATACGTATTTCAATCCACATATTGACAATCACCACTGAATATCCATGAGATTTTTCAGTTTGAACTTATTCTTCCAATTCTATCTTCTCATGCACGTGTAATTTAGATGGTCGCTTGTACCAACTGAAGGGACACAGACCTAGGATATTCCTCTGCATCCACAAAACCGATGTCTCTTGCCTCCTTTCCCACTGATTTAAAGAAACACTTTTCCGTTACAACCACTATGTCAACTGCTTAATCTTGTACAAGTAAAGACTATTTGCATTGGTTATAATGACTCCAGGTGCCTATAAACTATTAGTCTAAAAATTACTAGAAGTTTCCATTTAGTTTGAACTGATTACTCAAGTGGTGGCAGTAGCTCTAACAAAAGGGATAGATGGGGGGAAAAAAAAAAAAACAACAACAACATCAGAAATGCCTATGAAAACGTTTATAAAGGAAACACAAACATAAGTGACACCAAGATAATATGCAAGATCCATATGTCGAGAGGATATGAGACCAGAAAACTTTGCATATCTTTCTCAAAAAATTAACAAACTGTTAAAAGTATGAGAAATGATGGTACTGACAACAGGCATCCTCGGCGTGGCTTTTTCTTCCTCTCTTTTTGTTTCTGTGCTGGCTTGATAACTACTTTTATTGCAGCATCAAAAACTGCTTTGACATTCTGCAATAGCATGAAAAATGTCATTTACAACATGATAATAAATGTAATCTAATGCCTGCAAGGAACAATTAGAAAAGGTCATCCTTAATGCAATAGTGCCAGGGCAAGGTTCTCATATGATAACAGCAACAGAATATCAAAACTACAAGCATGTGTCGGCCTGCAATATGCTACTTTGGGGCCGTCATACAGTCAGGATGTATGCCAAATAGCAAAGAGCCTGTGGATAAAATTTTCATAACAGGAAGATCAGTTTTGCCAAGCATTTGCGGGGAGAGGGAAACCAGAAATTTACACTCAGATTAATTCAGGAGAATGCCACTGAAGATACAGCAAACAGTTGTAGAAGTCAAACTTTTGGCAGTTTTTTTCCCTCCTTTTCTCTAGTTTAATTTTATATGAGCAATTCACCCAGATAAACATTAGCTGGGCGGTCAATTATCATGGATAGTATACACATTACAACATATTGCCAAATTATTGCATACCTGCTGAGTTTTTGAACTACACTCGATGTAATATGCTGCACCAATCTGTTTTCGCAGTTCCTCTCCCTGATCATATAGGAACCGATATCATTTAAGAAGCTGATCACATGAAGAGCAAGGAAAAAAAAAAACTAAACCATTGAATAGAAACTACACCTGTGCAGTGGTCACAGGCACCAATCCAGGGTGATCAGCCAAATAATGCTTATCCTCACGAAGATCTACTTGTCCATTTTAAACCATGCATTAAATTCAAATCTATGATGCTTCACAAAGCTAACCACCTCAATATAAATGTTAAATGTCAATAAAGCTCATGTAATTGGTCAATAGTTCCCAGCAGAAGGATTCATGAAACATAAGAGCGAACATTATCTGGTGAACCATCATGGATTATGAAAAGCAGTATGAATGGCTAGGCTCATGTCAATCAATTTGCTCATATTCTAATACTTTCAAGGACGTGAAAGACAATACAATTTCATTTTACATCAAAGAGGCAAGAGTGTTTATTTGGTCAGGGAACTTGAACTGATATGCTTCCTGACAGAATGAAAGAATTATGCTATTCATAAGAAATGAAGATAATAAAATAATTGGTGCAAAGGAGCATGATATAATCATCCAAGTGAGTTGTAAACAGAAGTAACATAGTATGGAATTGTAAGCAAAGTTTTTTTCTTTTGTTTTTTTTTTTAAAAAACAGATAATGTTATTCATATGACAATCATTCACATTAAAGCCACTGACAAAACAATAAGAACAGGGGAGAGAGAAGGAATCAATATTCTTATTTGCAAAGGAATGACCACCATTAGTTTGACACGAGAAAAAAGAAAAAGAAGTCCTTATTTGCAAGAGTGATCAATATTCTTTTTCCTTTTTCTATTCATTTCTTTCCAGACAAGCAACGATCATTAAAAAAAAAAAAAAAAAGTTATGGAATAGCATAAAGAATGAACACACTAGAAAATGCACATTGCAATGTATCTGCAAGCAAGTTGATAGAATAATATTAACAAAGAATGGATTAGTTTACTTAGTTTTAAAATTTCCAGAAGTATTCCAACTTTGAGAGAACTGGCCTTAAAAATTTTCTGATCACACAACAGACCCTCAATCCTCAAAACCCATCTCAGTCAAGCATCTAACGCTACTAACCAGGGAAGGAAAAATTCACTTGGTTACTTGGGAAGAATTATGCAAAGCTAAAGAACAAAGAGGACTGATTTAAGAAGGGAAAGGATTGAACAGTACAGACAGTAGCACTGACAAGATCACATAGCCAAAACCAAGAAAAGAATCATAACCAGCACTGAATTGACGAAAAAAAATGATGATGGTTGCTAGTAAACTAACCCAATTTGGTACCAGCCAGTACTACTGGAACTCCAGGGGCATAATGCTGAAGCTCTGGAATCCACTGGACAAACAATCTCACATTTGAAACTAATATACAATGAGTATAAAAGAAAAAGAAATCAGAAAGGTAAGAAGATAACCAATTGGAAAAAAAGGATGCACCTTTTTAAGTACATTTTCATAGCTAGCCCGACTAACTAGCGAGAAAGCTAAGACAAAGACATCTGCCCCTCTGTAGCTCAAGGGCCTTAATCTATTGTAGTCCTCTTGCCCTATGGAAGTCGATAAAACAAATGAATCATAAAAGTTGCCTAATTTGGCAAAACTGTTTTCAGGCAAAGGAAGACACAATTGTGGGAATAAATATTAAAACGAAAATATGCAGTGAACCAAATATCATACCAGCTGTGTCCCAGAGGCCTAAGTTTACAGTGGTTCCTTCAACTACCACATTTGCACTGAAGTTATCAAACACTGTAGGTATATAATCCTAACAAACACCAAAAAACAAACAAACAAACAAAAAAGTTATCAATAACATTTACTTATGTTTTGCTCATTTGCATGAATGAATAAGAACAAAAAGCAAGAAACTTTCAAATGGAAATAAAATAAATTAAGCCTAAAAAACGAAAATAAGGTAAACACAAGATCGCTATCTTAAAATAGAAACTCAAATAGACAAACTTTAGCCAAGTAGCAAAACCCAGAAGCTAAAGGAATTGAGAGATACCGAGACAAAATTTAGAATAGAGCTAAAAAAAAAAAAAAAAAAGATACATTAAAAGCAGCAAAACCCAGATGCAAAAATACGTTAAATTACAATTAAAAAAAAAAAACATAAATTATAAAGCAGAGCAGAGGTGAGATAGTTAGATGGGTCATTTAATAGAGCAAAGAACATACAGTAGGGAACTTGTTACTTGTGTAACAAATAAGCATACAGGTCTTGCCTACAGCCCCATCTCCCACAGTAACACACTTGATAAACCTTGATGCACTTGAAGCCATTGATGTAAACAAACAAAGCTTTTTTCTCTCGATTCTCAAAAGAGGGAAAAAAAGAAAATAGCAGTTAAAGAGTAGTGGAAGTGACACAAGAAAAAAAGGTGGAGAGAGCAGAAGAGGGTGGTTTGCTGTAGGTGAAAAATTTATTAGGATTGTTATTATGACTTCTTTTGATTCGAAGTTAAGGAGAGTGGTGGTAGGAGTGGTGGATCACATGATTCTCACTCATTCACTTATCACTGTTTTTTTTTTTTTTTTAACACCCTTTTAGGGTTTTATTTTATTTTTATTTTTGCTTCTGTTTTATTAGTTTGTTCGGCGTTTCCAATGTATTTCCCAACAGTTAAGTAAAATATTTATATATTATTTTTGTTTCTAAAATAAGAATTGCAGCAAGTCAGCAAGAGCTTTTGTTATGTACTGCCTTGTTTTGCTTTCCTCCTAGTCTTGATCCAATTTTTAGACAAAAGAAATAAAAAATGGCTAGAGAGGGAGTGGGATTAAATTATAAATTAATCCTTTCTTTTTTTGAAAAATAAATTCATTAGTCTCTTAGTTCTAAAATCTAATTATTTAATTTTTTAACCAATATTGATAACAATTAATTTAATATTTTTTATTGTATAAAATATATCCTATTCTTATTATCTTTTCATAATTTTTACTTATTTTTTTCTATTTCTTAAAACAAAAATTAAAATAAATTAAAAATAGCAAAAAGAGCTAAATGATACTGAAGGGACTAATTAATTTATTTCTCAAAACAAAAAGGATTAATTTATAATTTACTCTTGGGAGCGGAGATTAAAATAGAAATTATATTTAGGTTTGGAGAAAGAAAATTGGAGAGAAGGACCCAAAAAAAAAAAAAAAAAACACCTCTCTAACTAAGATTATTATGTTAGGAAGAAGGAAACAGATGGAATAATTAGAAGAGTTATAAAATGTAATGTACGTACTTGGTATAATCAGATGATATTAACAATAGGAGAGGAAATATTTCCTTTTGTGGATAGGTTCCTGGAATCCTGATCTCTACCCTCCTTTTCTCTACAGCGGCCAATGCCGTTCGGGTTTTGTGAGCGTAGTTATCTAGGCTTTTCCTTACTTTCCCAAGTGTGTAGATTCATCTCTGTGAGCTTTCTTACCTTTTTCTTTTTATAAAGGATTTTTAGTCTGCACTTTGTTCGACATTGAGATGGCTACAAGTTTAGCGGAGGGGGCACGAGGAGAGTGAATAATGGAGGGTTTAATGATAAATTTTATCCTTATTTAATTACGATTTGATAATTTTGGATTTATAGTATCAAATCGGGTAATTTGAATTTTCAAGTATTAAAGATTAGGCAAATGTAGTTCAAATTATCTAATCTTTGTTATATGTAATGGTCAACCTAGTTGATCTTTATTATGAATGCCAAAATGACGTCATTTTGACATTGCAATGTTGATTATGTTTTTTTTTAATATTTTAACCTTCTAATCTTGAACTTTTTTTTAAAAAAAATTTCTTATAAAATATTATAAACATTTTATAAATTATATATAAAAAATATTTTATAAATATCTTTGACCTCCTAATTTTGATTTTTTAACTTTTTTTTATAAAATATTATAAACATTTTATAAAAAATGTTTTTTTTATAATTTATAAAATTAGTGGAGTGAAACCTTAATTATGCTCATTTTAATTTGTAAAATGTTTTTGTAAGGCTTGGAATTGTGTAATGTTAATTATGTTTTTTACAACAACATTTTATAAAAAAAATTTTAAAGTTCAAAATTAGGGGGTTAAAAATATTTATAAAATATTTTTTTATATAATTTATAAGAAAAAAAGTTTTTAAAAAAGTTCAAGATTAGGGAGGTTAAAATATATATATTTTAAAAAAAATAATTAACAACGAAAATTGAATCATTTTGACATTCCAAATAACGATCAACCCAATTGATCATTACACATAACAAAGATTAAACAATTTGGATCACATTTGCCTAATCTCTAATATTTTGAGGTTCGATTATGCAATTTAATACTATGGATTCGAAATTGTCAAATCGCAATAAAATGATGGTAAAATTTATCATTATACCAATAATAGAGAAGCAAGTGAAGAGGAATAAATTGTGCTTGGTGATGATGTTGGTCGTCATAATCCAATTCCCTCTAATTTTCATAAAATTTCTTTCAATATATATATATTCCCTTCATTTTAGCCTCCCTCTTTTTCTTTCTTTCTTTCTTTCTTTCTTTTTTTTTTTTTTTGAGTTTTTGTAAGTTTATATATTTTCATGAGTTTCAAGTAAAACGAGAGAGAAAATAAAAGTAAATGTCCTAAAAAATCAAGTTGTTGAAAAACAAAAATGACAACATATAGTAAAAGAAATAAAAGAGAAAAGAAAAAATATATGTAAACGGGGTATTTTATTCTTATTTTATTATTTTTATCTAAACTTTTTTAAATACCCTAATCCTTTAGAGGTTAACTCAAACACCTAACCAAACAAAATTTTTCTTTCTAGAATAACTTGAACCTAACCTAAAGTGTGTCCACATAAACATCCTAGCCTATCAAAAGATAAAGATGATTGATATAATTTTAGCAAAAAACCCCACAAAAAATAAGGTGAATCTAGACATAAATCCAACTAGATACACATCATATCCCTACATAGAAATAATACGAACAAAAAAAGTTAGAAGAGAGGAGGACCATAAAGAATAATAAAAAGGCCTCCCTCTCTTTACCTCACTTCCCCACCAAAATCTAACGTACCGTCATACCAAACCACCAAAACCAACGACGAGTAACCATATCATCGTCTCCTCTAGTTACAATGATTTTTTTTTTTTTTTATGGTATAGAGGAAGAAGGCAAAGCTAAGGCCTCAAGAAACAAACACTAGTAGCATCACTAGATAGAATGTCTCCAATACCCAATGAAGGATGATTCCAAACTCAAAAAGAGTATCATTCGATGAACTAATACTAACAAGATGGTTGGCGCATCGATTGTCTTCCCTCGCAGTATGACTAAAGGATATACACCATTATCTTTGGTAGAGACAACAAATGTCTATGATAATTTTGTAGTAGAAATGAGTTTGAAAAAAATCATTACATATAGCATTGATTGCTTCTTCGAGTCAATCTCCAAAGTCACTTTTTGAAAGCAAATTCCCATGCAAGAATGAGACCCCAACGAATTGCTTCTAACTCCGTCATCATAATGTATGAGTGTCCAAGATAACCTAAGAAACCAATTTTTCACACACCACAGTAGTCTTAGATAAAACCCTCAATCCTAACACGGATAGTCAAGCTCGAAAAGCTGTCATTAGTATCACACTTAATTAAGTCTTAGGAGAGAGCTAATTAAGAAATCCAACACCGGGAATAGACTAATGGGTTGGAGATAAAGATTCAAAAACTAAAACACGGTTATGAGTTAAAGAGTGAATTAGGCACACTTGATGTCCGAAGGAAGTAGAATGCCTTGAATAACTTCTTTATTACATGCATATTAAATAATCTAACATGTAAGAATAAAGAATTGGTGTTAGAATAAAGAACTGGTGTTGATGCCAAGGAGTAGTAGAGCAAAAGGCATTACTATGAAACCAATCCTCCCATAAACCAAAGAAAAAAATCAATGGAAATATTTAGGCAATGTAGTTACTATCAAATATTCCGAACCTAAACACAATCATAAAGAATATGAATCATTGTTTCTTAGGCTACGTCACATCTTTGGAAGATAGGAAAAATGGACATACCTCTATGAAAATGAAAGGAATTAATAGGGAGACGTTGCCACTCCAATTGCCATAAGAAAAAATGATGCTTTATGCTAATTTCACACTCTAAATGCTCTTCCATTGGGTGTTCAACTTTGTTGGGTAAGAAAGCCGAGTAATAAACTCATATCCGGACTTAGTAGTATAATATCCTGAATTATTTTCTCCTCAAGCTAATCTATTTGTTGAAGAGAAGACTCTAGTAAAAGGGGTAGCTAATAAAGACGTATGAATATGAGTCGATAGAAAAGTGCGAAGATGAGATATATCTTAATTTCTAGATTCCGAGATGATATCTACAACTAAAAACTCTATCTCCTTTACATCAATGTTTGCCACATAATGCTTTAATGGAATTGGAAACAATCATTTATCAAACCACAAAGAGATTTTCTTGCCATCACCAATATACCAAATATAACCATCATTTAAGTAAGGCAAGAACTTACGGATAGCTTTCCATGTCGAGAGGCTATTTGAGGAGGATGATGAACCATGAATGACTCGTCATGTAAGTATTTTTTAGAAAAAATATGAACCTAGAGTTTATACATCTCCCGAATCAAGTCCCATCTTAATTTTCCTAACATAGTAATGTTATAGTCCCTTGCCATCCAAAGACCTAGACCACCTCTCTTTTAGGAGCGATAATGCATTGCCAATTGGTCAAATGAATGCCAAACCCATCCTTAGGAGACCCCAAAGAAACCCCTTAACAAGGTAATCAATCATATATACAAAGGATGGAAGGAAGCCATATCGATCGCATTGTACAAAGAGGGATGGTTAAGAGTGTTGATCGAATCAAGAAGCGACGAATCATCTTTGCTCGGTAACTTAGATTCCCATCCCGCTAGATGACAATGAATCTTTTTAGTGATGTTCTTAAGAGAGGATCAATTCCTTATCTCAAAAAGAGGGACTCCCAAGTAATCGCTCAAATCGAAGTAAAGAAAAAGTTTAGACTTCTTTTTAATTCCTATTGGTGCCGATGAGATGTATAAGGAGAGATGTAGACATGGTTTTTGATCATCAACCAACATTCATGAGTGTGTACATGTTGCTTTATAATATTTAATACTACTTTATAGTGATGAGGAGAAGCATGAGAGAAAAGTATCACATCATCGAGCAAAGAGAAGTTGAGATACTACCAAGCCACCATACAAAGCTGAGATTGGTTTTCAAATATTGCTAGCCACTTT